TCGGTATCCCTCGCCATGGCCGACCTGGACGTGATCATTGCCCTCGGTATCCCTCGCCATGGCCGACCTGGACATGATCATTGCCCTCGGTATCCCTCGCCATGGCCGACCTGGGCGAGATCATTGCCCTCGGTATCCCTCGCTATGGCCGACCTGGACCTGATCATTGCCCTCGGTATCCCTCGCCATGACCGACCTGGCCGTGATCATTGCCCTCGGTATCCCTCGCCATGGCCGACCTGGACGTGATCATTGCCCTCGGTATCCCTCGCCATGGCCGACCTGGACGTGACCATTGCCCTCGGTATTCCTCGCTATGGCCGACCTGGACGTGATCATTGCCCTCGGTATCCCTAGCCATGGCCGACCTAGACCTGATCATTGCCCTCGTTATTCCTCGCCATGGGCGACCTGTGCGTAATCATTGCCCTCGGTATCCCTCGCCATGGCCGACCTGGACGTGATCATTGCCCTCGGTTTTCCTCGCTATGGCCGACCTGGACGTGATCATTGCCCTCGGTATTCCTAGCCATGGCCGACCTGGGCGTGATCATTGCCCTCGGTATCCCTCGCCAAGGCCCGTCCTGGACGTGATCATTGCCCTCGGTATCCCTCGCCATGGCCGACCTGGGCGTGATCATTGCCCTCGGTATCCCTCGCCAAGGCCGTCCTGGGCGTGATCATTGCCCTCGGTATCCCTCGCCATGGCCGACCTGGACGTGATCATTGCCCTCGGTGTCCCTCGCCATGGCCAACCTGGGCGAGATCATTGCCTTCGGTATCCCTCGCCATGGCCGACCTGGACGTGATCATTGTCCTTGGTATCCCTCGCCAAGGGCGACCTGGGCGTGATCATTGCCCTCGGTATCCCTCGCCATGGCCGACCTGGACATGATCATTGCCCTCGGTATCCCTAGCTATGGCCGACCTGGGCGTGATCATTGCCCTCGGTATCCCTCGCTATGGCCGACCTGGACCTGATCATTGCCCTCGGTATCCCTAGCCATGGCCGACCTAGACCTGATCATTGCCCTCGGTATCCCTAGCCATGGCCGACCTGGGCGTGATCATTGCCCTCGGTATCCCTCGCCATGGCCGACCTGGACCTGATCATTGCCCTCGGTATTCCTCGCTATGGCCGACCTGTGCGTAATCATTGCCCTCGGTATCCCTCGCCTTGGCCGACCTGGACGTGATCATTGCCCTCGGTATCCCTCGCCATGGCCGACCTGGACCTGATCATTGCCCTCGGTATTCCTCGCCATGGCCGACCTGTGCGTAATCATTGCCCTCGGTATCCCTCGCCATGGCCGACCTGTGCGTGATCATTGCCCTCGGTATCCCTAGCCATGGCCGACCTGGACGTGATCATTGCCCTTTTGGTATTCCTCGCTATGGCCGACCTGGACGTGATCATTGCCCTCGGTATCCCTCGCCATGGCCGACCTGGACGTGATCATTGCCCTCGGTATTCCTCGCTATGGCCGACCTGGACGTGATCATTGCGCTCGGTATCCCTCTCCATGGCCGACCTGGGCGTGATCATTGCCCTCGGTATCCCTCGCCATGGCCGACCTGGGCGTGATCATTACCTTCGGTATCCCTCGCCATGGCCGACCTGGGCGAGATCATTGCCCTCGGTATCCCTCGCCATGGCCGACCTGGCCTGGGCGTGATCATTGCCCTCGGTATCCCTCGCCATGGCCGACTTGGGCGAGATCATTGCCCTCGGTATCCCTCGCCATGGCCGACCTGGACGTGATCATTGCGCTCGGTATCCCTCGCCATGGCCGACCTGGGCGTGATCATTGCCCTCGGTATCCCTCGCCATGGCCGACCTGGGCGAGATCATTGCCCTCGGTATCCCTCGCCATGGCCGACCTGGCCTGGGCGTGATCATTGCCCTCGGTATCCCTCGTCATGGCCGACTTGGGCGAGATCATTGCCCTCGGTATCCCTCGCCATGGCCGACTTGGGCGAGATCATTGCCCTCGGTATCCCTCGCCATGGCATACCTGGGCGAGATCATTGCCCCCGGTATCCCTCGCCATGGCCGACCTGGGCGTGATCATTGCCCTCGGTATCCCTCGCCATGGCCGACCTGGGCGTGATCATTGCCCTCGGTATTCCTAGCCATGGCCGACCTGGGCGTGATCATTGCCCTCGGTATCCCTCGCCAAGGCCGTCCTGGGCGTGATCATTGCCCTCGGTATCCCTCGCCTTGGCCGACCTGGGCGTGATCATTGCCCTCGGTATCCCTCGCCAAGGCCGTCCTGGGCGTGATCATTGCCCTCGGTATCCCTCGCCATGGCCGACCTGGACGTGATCATTGCGCTCGGTATCCCTCGCCATGGCCGACCTGGGCGTGATCATTGCCCTCGGTATCCCTCGCTTTGGCCGACCTGGACGTGATCATTGCCCTCGGTATCCCTCACCAAGGCCGTCCTGGGCGTGATCATTGCCCTCGGTATCCCTCACCAAGGCCGTCCTGGACGTGATCATTGCCCTCGGTATCCCTCGCCATGGCCGACCTGGGCGTGATCATTGCCCTCGGTATCCCTCACCAAGGCCGTCCTGGGCGTGATCATTGCCCTTGGTATCCCTCGTCATGGCCGACCTGGGCGTGATCATTGCCCTCGGTATCCCTCACCAAGGCCGTCCTGGGCGTGGTCATTGCCCTCGGTATTCCTCGCCATGGCCGACCTGGGCGTGATCATTGCCCTCGGTATCCCTCGCCATGGCCGACCTGGGCGTGGTCATTGCCCTCGGTATCCCTCGCCATGGCCCGTCCTGGGCGTGATCATTGCCCTCGGTATCCCTCGCCATGGCCGACCTGGGCGTGATCTTTACCCTCAAACATCCCATACCGTGGTCCGTCCTGTCATTGCGCTCTGTATCCCCAAATTTGAAACCGTAAATGATTCTTCTTAGGTGAGTTAAATAACATTTGTTATTACACATACCTATCGGTGCTCCGTGCGCGTTCAAATCAGTCACATCCTAGAACAGGCAATACCATTATCAAGGTTAAAGGCACCGACATGTTTGTGACTGACCGGTATAGGGTGAATCAAAGTCCAAAATCTGAATCTAATTTCATATACAGTATCTCAGAGTTTCATGATTTCAACTAGTAGAGGTAGAACACATTAACCACTGAATAATTATGGAATTAAAGGATATTTACACAAATGATGTAGTTGTGTGTTCATGAGCGAGTTTCAGGAAATATACAAAAGCAACGGACTCATCAACTGTAATGCGGTTATAAATATAGTATACACAATATGACTAAACATGTCCATAAGCGCAATCATGTGCGAGATACGAGTAGTGCTATCAGTAGTATGTTATCAGACCATGTTGTACGGGCTTGCCGACAGTGGTGTAGTCACAACGCGATACTGTGATAGAAGAATGACATGAATGACACACATGACTGATGGAGAAGTATCTCTTATATTAAATGAATAGAGCTTGATCTTATCTATACTTTTTTCATATAATTGCAACATTTGGGTATCACAGATTGAACATACTAATTGTACATGACGGTGGGATCTGCGATTATATTTTGCTTTTCAACACTTTAACCCTTTTTCGATAGCAGTTGTGTTTTTTATAATAAATCGCTTTCCACCCTTTTCTAGGCAAGAACAGATTCTCCTAATCACATCAAGACGGTTTATTTTCACCAAGTCATGGCGACACTTTGTCAGATCCTATTTTGGAAGCGTGTCCTTTTACTTTATTTTTAACCTTGCAGAACTGGTTTTAAATATTGTGGGAACTTAACAATTACCTGGGCTCGGCCATTAAAAATCTTGATCAATATCACGCTGTAACACCTAAACACCTAGACAGGTTTCACAAATATTGAAGACCATTTGGTCAGTTTAAGCCTTATCACTGATTACAGGAACATTCATGAATTCTAAAGAGTGTTTGCGAGTGTATTGTTCAAGACTGTTCAAGATAGGACTTCTTCTAATTTCCCTAGAAGTTCATGAATCAAGCTAGATTGAGCAGTTGTAACTGAGGTTTGTTTTTAATGTTGTCAATGTGGCTGATCTTATATAATATAATTCTATCTAAAACAGAAGAAGACTCATTTAGATTTACTTTTACCGTGTGCAAGAGAAGTTTGTTTTTATATACTATAGCTCTTGTTAGTTTAACCTAATGTTAGTTTGTATCTGTTAAGGCGTAAATGTTATCCCATCAAAGAATACAATAGTGAAGTGTTGCTAAAAGGAGGCCTTAAGTCTGTTAATGGGATTACGGGTAGGGAAGATGGGAAATGAAACTTCGATTTTGACAAGTCCCTCAGGGTGCATGGGGATGAAGGAAGTTAATCTTGACAGCTTGCAGAAACTTTGAGGTGTCCACTGACTGTCCGCCTTGACGCGCTTTCCTGAAATGAGGGACAGAGTGAATCACTTCGTTCAATCATGGTGAGTGGACCCGAAGACAGTCCAGGGACTCCAGCCACCAACTATTTGAAGACCTGATTTGTGCTGTCTCAACGTTGGTGTCCACTGAGCCTCATCTTGGTGTTCTTAACTCTTGGCTATACCTTTGGGTCTCCTGACCCACTTTTGCCATACACAGAGATAGCTTAGATGTTGCACTTAAAAACATAGAGAAAGCTGTATTGTATCAGCATTAGGTTTTACTGTATTCGGTGTGGAAGTGCTATGAACATTAAGGATATAGGAAAGACATGTCAGTGTTTTGAGCAGGACAAGGGACTGTTGTAGAAGTAAGCGATTCGCATAAACTCCGTACATTCCGAGCTATGCAGAATGTGGGCGCGAACATCCAGTACAGAACACACTTCAACGACACACAATCTACAATGTTATATACCTCAATGTGCAGATCCTACTTAAAGCATATTATCACGCAATGACGGCAGCGGTGATGTTATCTTCAAATGTTAGTGGCACGTGATCAACATCAGCTCCGCCCACTGTACATTCGGCATACTGTAGGTTTAAGGGCACACACGTATTAAGCCACAACTACCTTGCGTGCATGTTCATCGTCTCTTTATACTGAACTGCTCAGTGACGGATTCCGGCTGTTGTAGTTGTACACCCTTGGAGGACGTCGTCATGTAAGACCGTATCTTAGTGAGTACCTTATTAGAATTCGAATGTCAAACCTTGTCTCTATGAATTGACTGTTCGTGAGTGTGGGTCCATTATCAAATCGTCAGCATTTTGAAATGACACTGATGTGCACTCTTTCAATAATACATTATGTGTTTTGTCATCAGGGTTCATAGTTACAAATCGAAATGGTAAGAACGATTAAGAAGGTAATCGTCACATGTACTTTCTTAAAGGGATTCAGTCCAACTGTCCGCATGTGATGACTGACGGCATGAGATGACAGACGGCATGAGATGACTGACGGCATGAGATGAGATGACTCTCGGCATGAGATGACTGACGGCATAAGATGACTGACGGTGTGAGATGACTGACGGCATGAGATGACTGACGGCATGAGATGAGATGACTGACGGCATGGGATGAGATGACTGTCGGCATGAGATGACTGACGGCATAAGATGACTGACGGCATGAGATGACTAACGGCATGAGATGAGATGACTGTCGGCATGAGATGAGATGACTGACGGCATGAGATGAGATGACTGACTGCATGAGATGAGATGACTGTCGGCATGAGATAAGATGACTGACGGTATGAGATGAGATGACAGTCGGCATGAGATGACTGACGGTATGAGATGACTGACGGTATGAAATGACTGACGGCATGAGCTGACTGACGACATTAGATGACTGACAGCATGAGCTGACTGTCGACATGAGATGAGTTGACTGACGTCATTAGATGACTGACGGCATATGATGACAGACGGCATGAGGTGACTGACGGCATGAAATGACTGACGGCATGAGATGACAGACGGCATGATATGACTGACGGTATGAGATGAGGTGACTAACGGCATGAGATGAGATTTCTGACGGCATGAGATGAGATGACTGACGGCATGAGATGAGATGACTGACGGCATGAGATGACTGACGGTATGAGATGAGATGACTGACGGCATGAGATGAGATGACTGACGGTATGAGATGAGATGACTGACGGCATGAGATGAGATTACTGACGGAATGAGATGAGATGACTGACGGCATGTGATGATTGACGGCATGAGATGACTGTCGGCATGTGATGACTGACGGCATGTGATGACTGACGCATGAGGTGACTGACGGCATGAGGTGACTGTCGGCATGGGATGAAAGACGGTATTATATGACTGACGGCATGAGATGACTGTCGGCATGAGATAAGATGACTGACGGTATGAGATGAGATGACAGTCGGCATGAGATGACTGACGGTATGAGATGACTGACGGTATGAAATGACTGACGGCATGAGCTGACTGACGACATTAGATGACTGACAGCATGAGCTGACTGTCGACATGAGATGAGTTGACTGACGTCATTAGATGACTGACGGCATATGATGACAGACGGCATGAGGTGACTGACGGCATGAAATGACTGACGGCATGAGATGACAGACGGCATGATATGACTGACGGTATGAGATGAGGTGACTAACGGCATGAGATGAGATTTCTGACGGCATGAGATGAGATGACTGACGGCATGAGATGAGATGACTGACGGCATGAGATGACTGACGGTATGAGATGAGATGACTGACGGCATGAGATGAGATGACTGACGGTATGAGATGAGATGACTGACGGCATGAGATGAGATTACTGACGGAATGAGATGAGATGACTGACGGCATGTGATGATTGACGGCATGAGATGACTGTCGGCATGTGATGACTGACGGCATGTGATGACTGACGCATGAGGTGACTGACGGCATGAGGTGACTGTCGGCATGGGATGAAAGACGGTATTATATGACTGACGGCATGAGATGACTGACGGCATGAGGTGACTGACGGCATGTGATGACAGACGGCATGTGATGACAGACGGCATGTGATGACAGACGGTATGTGATGACTGACGGCATGAGGTGACTGACGGCATGAGATGACTGACGGCATGAGATGACAGACGGCATGGATTGACTGACGGCATGAAATGATTGATGGCATGAGGTGACTGTCGGCATGAGTTGACTGACGGTATGAGGTGACTGACTGCATGAGATGACAGACATCATGGATTGACTGACGGCATGAAATGACTGATGGCATGAGGTGACCGTCGGCATGAGATGACTGACGGCCTGAGGGGACTGACGGCATGAGGTGACTGACGGCATGAGATGACAGACATCATGGATTGACTGACGGCATGAAATGACTGATGGCATGAGGTGACTGACGGCATGAGGTAAGTTGACTGACATCATAAGATGATTGTCGGCATGAGATGACTGACGGCGTGAGACGCCTGACGGCATGTGATGACAGACGGCATTATATGACTGACGGCATGTGATGACAGACGACAGGCGATGACTGACGGCATGAGATGACTGACGGCATGAGGTGACTGACGGCATGAGATGACTGATGGCATGAGATGACTGACGGCATGTGATGACAGACGGCATGAGATGACTGACGGCATGAGATGACTGACGGCATGTGATGACAGACGGCATGAGATGACAGACGGCATGAGATGACTGACGCATGTGATGACTTACGGCATGAGATGACTGAAGACATGAGATGACTGACGGCATGTGATGACAGACGGCATGAGATGACAGACGGCATGAGGTGACTGACGGCATGTGATGACTGACGGCATGTGATGACAGACGGCATGAGATGACTAACGGCATGTGATGACTGACGGCATTAGATGACGGACGGCATGAGGTGACTGACGGTATGACATGACTGACGGCATGAGATGACTGACGGCATGAGGCGACTGACGGCATGAGGTGACTGACGGCATGAGATGACTGATGGCATGTGATGACAGACGGCATTATATGACTGACGACATGGAATGACTGTCAGCATGAAATGACTGACGGCATGACCTGACTGTCGGCATGAGATGACTGACGGCATGAGATGACTGACAGTACGAGATGACTGACGGCATGTGATGAGATGACTGACCTGATGTGGTAAGATGACTGACGGCATGAGATGACTGACGGCAAGAGATGACTGTTGGCATGAGATGAGATGACTAACCTGATGTGGTGAGATGACTGACAGCATGAAATGACTGACGGCATGAGATTAGCTGATTGACGTCATGAGATGATTGACGGCATGGGATGACTGACGGCTTTTGTTGACTGACGGCATGAGATGACTGACAGTACGAGATGACTGACGGCATGAGATGACTGACAGTACGAGTTGACTGACGGCATGACCTGACTGTCGGCATGAGATGAGATGACTGACCTGATGTGGTAAGATGACAGACGGCATGAGATGACTGACGGCATGAGATGACTGTTGGCATGAGATGAGATGACTGACCTGATGTGGTGAGATGACTGACGGCATGGAATGACTGACGGCATGAGATGACAGACGGAATGACATGACTGTCAGCATGAAATGACTGACGGCATGAGATGAGCTGATTGACGTCATGAGATGATTGACGGCATGGGATGACTGACGGCTTTTGTTGACTGACGGCATGAGATGACTGACAGTACGAGATGACTGACGGCATGAGATGACTGACAGTACGAGATGACTGACGGCATGAGATGCCTGTCGGCAAGAGATGAGATGACTGACCTGATGTGGTAAGATGACAGACGGCATGAGATGACTGTTGGCATGAGATGAGATGACTGACCTGATGTGGTGAGATGACTGACGGCATGGAATGACTGACGGCATGAGATGACAGACGGAATGACATGACTGTCAGCATGAAATGACTGACGCATGAGATGAGCTGATTGACGTCATGAGATGATTGACGGCATGAGATGACTGACGGCTTTTGTTGACTGACGGCATGAGATGACTGACAGTACGAGATGACTGACGGCATGAGATGACAGACGGAATGACATGACTGTCAGCATGAAATGACTGACGCATGAGATGAGCTGATTGACGTCATGAGATGATTGACGGCATGGGATGACTGACGGCTTTTGTTGACTGACGGCATGAGATGACTGACAGTACAAATTGACACACGGCATGGGATGACTGTCGGCATGAGATGAGTTGATTGACGTCAAGAGATGATTGTCGGCAAGAGTGACTGAGTGAGTGAGTTTAAACATACATACGAAATATGTGTTAACTTTCCAAAATACCTGTCAACAAAGGACAGTAAAATAACAAGAGTATCACATACATATTTGTTATTTAAAACTAGTATGTAACGATAAAACGATATTACGATACATAACAATACATGATAAAAACGAGCTAGAGATCGCCAGCATCCAAAGTTAGGCCACCACACTAGGGACCGTGGGGACTTACAATACTTCTGCTTCCTTCACGGCTCCCCAGCAGGATTTACACCATGCCTTCAGTCGCTGGCGATTATAGTCAAATGTAGCTATCAATTAAAAGTAACAAATATACTACGATTCGAAATGGGGTAGATCCAAATGTACTTTGAATGATGTGGAACTTACGTACTCTTTCAGGGGGACAATGATTTTCCAGTACTATAACCACCTTCAAGAATACAGCCACTAACAATCTCAGTTTGAAAATTTGATCTACCAATTTTTAAAACGACAGATATACATTTTCATCCCTTGTGATGGCAAAATCAACAAAGTCAAGCAGATGACCGTGATTCTCTCATCACAAGGGATACAACATGGAGGATCCTCACCTTTCAATAAATACTCGTGTGTAAATCTGCTATGGCCAATACGGCATCGTCGCATAATGACCTCTTCAAATCTGAACTCACAACCCAAGTAAGTGTAACCGATAGTTGGTTTAATTTCATGTAATTTATTGATACCTACTTGGGTGTCCAACTTCCTCTGCATAAGATCTTTAAAGTAAGATCTTGTAATAGCTTTAATACCACTGTATGGGATTTGAAGTGGTGTCACAGATTTGTTGAGCGCTGCTTTTGCAGTAGCATCAGCCATTGTGTTACCAACGGTTCCA